GCTTCAGAATCTCCTAAACTGTATTGTATGGATGCATCAGGGGGGCTAAAGATCTTAGGTCTGATAATAAACCCAAACGCCGCCGTGTTTCTGCCCTTTACTAATTGTTGAGGGGCTTTTAGGGAAAAAGGCTTCAGCGACACGCACTTTTTAAATTTTTTTTGGTTGTGTTTGTGGGCTTTGTCTCTTCATTCCCATCTGCCTCCCTCTTTGTTTTTCATCTGTTTGTTTGCCAGGTGCTGCGATGCAGCTGTTCTAGGCTTATGTTTCATGGTTATGTTTAAAACGGTCATAAAGCCCCTTTTTTTGTCTTTGTTTTTCTATTTTTAGAAGTTGACACAGTTTCCAGAGATCTTAATAAAATGCATGTTGCTCATAATACAATAGAAAACCTTTTAGCTGTTTCAGCTCTATAGATTTTTTTTTTTCTATGTAGATGATTTCAATCATTTGTTCAGAAAGACATGAGCAAAGGCCTTTTTGGGGGGGAATAAAATCACAGAAGGTAAAGAGCTGCTTTGATTTGCTGAGGTTTTAGTGGGAATAAAGATATGGAGTCAGGCTATTTCTGCTCTGAGCTGTTAGTGTGACGTGGAAACCCACCATAAATCTGAGCCGCTCGCTGAGGGAGATATAATCAGTTCTTCGGTGGCCCCAGGCAAAGTGCCAGGATTTGGTCGATCAGAGCTTTTTACTTGGTTGTGATCTCAAACACACAACAAATGCTCTCAAAGCACAGAAAAAGTGTCACGTTTTGTTTGTTTTTCCAAAATGCCCTCTTTACATATGTTTCCTGCACCTTCTAAACCCTTTATTGGGGACTCTTGCTAATATGTAAATGCAAGTTGTGTTTGTGGAAAATGCACCGAGTCGCATTAGTTACTGAATCCTGTTTGTTTAAATTCAGAAAAATAAGGTAATGTTTCTGCTTTTGGTGCTTTTTCAGTGAGAAGCACGTGCAGGACAAAGGATAGTTTTTTATATAAATTAGTGCTTGCGCATTACCTGCTACGGAGAAGTTAAAATCACCCAAACAGGATTTTTCCATCCTATAACTGCACAAACAAGCAGGATGATGCATTTAATAAAGATGTGCGATGAACCAAAACAAGTACCGGATCCAGCGGGTTTCAGCAGGTGACTCAGGTGTGCTGCGAGCTACACCTGACACTACTCGGTTTCCTATTTTTTTGCAGTTTAATGAAATTTGAAAAGTTTTCTTTCCTCTCTGTTGAAAACAAATGCAAGATTTTGTCTCTGAAATGGTTATACTGACCTAAGTGTTGTTTCTGTGTTTTGCAGTGAAGAAAGCCAAGCTCCAGGGCCCAGCAGGTAAGATGTTCCTTTATTTATTTATTCATTCAGAGCGCACATGTCCTGTCCCGGCTCAGTGTGTTCCATCCCACATCCCTGAATATACACAGCTGACTTTAACAGAGGCTCACATGCACAGAGAGTCGTGTTCCGTGAGCCTCGTTGGGACTCTTTTTGTTTGTTTTTCTCCAAGGCTGCTGCCATTGTAGAGTTTTGCCAAGGCAATGATTTCAAGATCCAATCACCAGGCCATACGATTGCACCATATGGGCCACAAAACCCCTTACACTCCGCCGCGAATGCCGATTAGCCTTACGTGGCGCGGGTTGGAAACGTTCCAGGTTCAGTTTCCTCATGCAGGTTAATCGCTTAAATTGTGGCAAGTCACTAATAGCCGGGTTAACTTTTTGCGTTATGTAAGGTGGCGTCCCCACAGAGCTGACTGGGTGCAGGCGAGCTTAGGTGGGTCGCTCCCTAAGTCCAAATCCCTGTGGCGCTCCACCTCAGCAAATCCCCTCAGCGCGCGTGCTCACGCCTCCCTCTAAGCCCGCGGACATTTCTGGCAGGAGAAGACGCGAGCGCCGGTTAGAAAAAAAAAAAAAAAAAAAGAAAGAAAGTCACCTCGGCTTCGGACACACGCCGGGCACGTTAGCGGTCCGGTCAACGCCGTCCCCTCACGGTGGAACCGTTCAGCTTCACTGGACACTGATGTCCCACAGCAAACATCAGAGCTCAGCCACTCCTCTGAGGTCAAAGGTTACCATGTCAACAGCACCAAATGCAAAGTGCTATAAATAGCAGTTACGTTGTTTTGTTTTCAGAAGTCGTACATTTATACTTTTTTTAATGATTGATAAATGATTTAAGGTGGACGTTCTAACAGTTTTTCTGCTTGTCCAGAGGGCCCATAGCCTTTTGCTTTGCTCACCGTGTTCCCAGCTGGTTGTGAGCACAAAAAAGGGAAACAAACATGTAGCATTCTTTTGAATGGAGAAAACAGTCAAATATTTCAACATAAATGTCCCCGCATCATATGTGTGAAAAGAGACCTGGATATCAAAGCTTTGGTCTGTTGAGATGCATAAAATATCAGCCATCTCCAAATGAAACTCGTTATTGATTTGTGCTGGAACATTTAAAGTGAGCACTCTCAAGTAGGTAAAGGTAAATATCAAACTATTTTTTACAAGTGAAACGAGGAACACAAAATGTGAAATAAAGACCAAAGTAGAGCAATAATACAGATACAAAGTAGTACAGTAAAGACACTGTACAGTTCTTTGATAAAATCTGAAAGCAAAATAACAAACAAAAATTAGGAAATATAATAATTTATGATTTTTTAATATTTATGCTTATTTGGCTTTGTCACAATTTAAAATCTTAATCATTGGAGAAAAAGAAAAGAGCTGTAAAGCTGAGGATGGTTCTGACTGCTCACAATGTTGGGCTGATCAGAGGCAGATCGATTAGAAACAGAAAATTCAGTCATAATTGTAGAAGATGCAGCTGGAGATGTTTTGTATTTGGCAAGACGGGTGTAGACGCTTTAATATTCATGTTTAGAAGGTTTGGAAAATAGCTTTATTTCGACATATTCAATAGACAAAGACTCGTGCCATTTTACATGACCAGCGGGTTCGTTTCACAAAGCACATTAAAAATTCAGCCTTGATCACTACTAAAAGGGAGGTAAGCTACCACATTTGGTATGGAACAAAAGACTTATCATTTGGGAGTTATGTAAGAGCCCCCTTTGTGGGTCTTAAGGGAAAAACTAATTCTCAGAAAGCATAATTGATTTCATGATAAAATCTCATAACGATTCAGAGTAAAGAAGTAAAAATTGATGGATCTTGTTATGGATGGATCTTATTTTTTTCACCGGACTTTTTTCCTTGGTTACGCTTCAAAGCAAATAATGAGGAACCAGTGTAATTTTTGGAGAAATGACTACAGAATCCAGCATGTTTAGAATCCCCAGTAGAAAAATATGTGAAGCTGGATCGGACACTTAAAGCTCTCATAAAAAGTCCCAGGACTTTAGCGTTTACATTTTAACACAGCCCGCTGTTTGTCTCAGTGTAACGTGGCTTCTCATATGTGTCCACAATGTTTTATTCATACTTCTGAGAGGCCAGAACGTTTTCAGAGGGGGTTTTCCCTCACACACTGCTTGGGCCACTTCCGTCTACTTGACTGTAACAGGTAACTAAAATTAGAGAAAGCCAATCGTTGAATTGATTCTAAAATCGGACTTCTCTCCCTGAGCCTGAACAAAGTGGGCGTTAGTCTTAGCATCTCGGTGTTGCATGCAGATCTACGGTTGAATCATTTTCCTGCATTGATTTGATATGCTTGTGTGAAGATCTGGTCTTTTGTTTGGGGATTTTGTGCTTATCATAACTGTATCTGATAACAGTCCTTCCTGGATCTGCTGAGGTAGACACGAGACTTATAAGAAAAGGCCTTTCAGTTTACATAAGGTTGGTCCGGGAACTGTGTTTGCATTGTACTTCCACCACCACACCTGCAGTCTGCCCTTTTTGGCCTTACTTTGGAAGATTAGGGTGTTCCTGGAGACTGTTTTGTGTGTGTGTGTGTGTGTGTGTGTGTGCTGAGAGTGGCCTTGGATGGGCTGCTGACCAGCTGCCTTACTTTCCACTGCCTGCCACAGGAAACTGCAGCCTGATAAAGACCGTGGAGCTGGGGTCATGTTTGTGCCGCTCCGCAAATGGTTTCCTCATTAAAAAAAAGAATCCTCCGATTTAACAAAGCGCACAAGGACGTTGTGAGTTTTTATGTTTTTACCAAGCCACATTTGGTCCCAGAGCTGGGCGTCGAGGCCGGTAACGACGGAAAAAAAAGTTTTGGGGCACGCACGCGTCTTCCGTCCCATGTAACATTTATGGATTTAAAATGTCAGCCTTCCAACTGCCTGCATTTTTCTGACTAATTTATTGGAGGAAAAAAGAATAAAAAGCTCCACCATGAATCAATAATAGATGAGGACATTTGACGGTGGGCTCAGGAGTGAGTGGGTGGTGACTCCTGCTCACTTCATCATCCTGCAGTTCACCTCCTCTGATCCTTTTTCTCCGCACTGTGCCACTAGTGTGTTTACGGTGTGTGTGTGTGTGTGTGTGTGTGTGTGTTTGTGCTGGGTGCACTGATGAGGTTAGTCATATTAAAGCCAACCCTGTTGTAATTGCTCCATTTACTTTGTATCAACAGAATCCTGGTGCACGCACCGTTAGGCCAAATCCCGGTCCACCTCCGACAAACTCTTACCCCCACATGCAGCTTTCTTTTGGGAGGTTTGAAACGACCACGAGCAGCCGTCCAGTCAGGGTTGGACCGTTCATTCCATAACAGACGGTACAAATATAAAAGACAAGTAACTTCTACTTTAGTCTGGACTACAAAGAGTGTGAGCCCACGCTCTGCTTTGGTTCTGATTCTGACTTGTATAGCGTCATGTTTTAGTTGGATATCACTACTATTCAGCAGTAACAGCAAAACTGCTCGTTTTTTGCTCGTCCGCCTTGTCGTGTTTAACAGAGCAGGTCGTATGACCAGCACCTGCTGCAAAAGTCCCACAGCCTCTAAGTGGCTCTTATCTAATCCATACATCCTCTTCCCTTATCTGGCCCCCGCCCGGAGCCGTCCCAAGTGTGGCACAAGGCATGGACTATCTAATTAGGGAGAGGCTTGAGAGTCCCCCGGGCTTCTGTGGGACCATGTCTGCGTTTCGTCCCAATCATCCTTTTGAGACGCCGGTTGTGTTTGTGCGCTGTCCTTTTGTGAGTGTGGACGGTATGGACGGTGCTCTTTTTGTCACGTGCGGGTGTTTTTTAGTGCAGCTTTTGTTTTCTTTTTTAATGTATGGATTTGTTGAATCTGCTATAAAGACTTGTGTGTCCGTTTCTGTGGCCTGCCTGTGGAGTGTGTTGTGTGAATGCGCCTGTTTGGAGGGGCCGGCCTACTTTATCTGGCTGGTGTGTGAAAAGCTGGCCCAGGGTAAATGTTTTAGCGCGTTGCCGGGGCAACCGGGGGAAATCTTTGTTCATGGATCAGGTGATGGGCCTACAAAGGGAACAGCTGATTGCCAGCTTTTGTTTCCCAAAGATGAGAAGCAGGGTAGTGTGTGTGTGTGTGTGTGTGTGTGTGTGTGTGTGTGTGTGTGTGTG